TGTCGTAACCGTAATGGCCAACGTCCTCGGAATCCTTGGTATCCCTTGTTGGCCAAAAGCACCCAATCTGTAGGATACTCGGTCAGCATCAAGCATCGACTCATAGTCAGAGGTCTTCTCAAGTTTCTCCACGTGGAAGTCCATGTTGGACTCACAGATTGCAATGTCCTCGATGCTTCCGGGGGGCGCAGTAGTAACGTTGATAGCATGACCACTGGGCAGCACACTGACTTCCACCTAGAATCCATAGTGGCCGTACTTTTTGCTGAAGTACAGCTTCTTCTCCGGAAAGGACCCAGCAGGTGCGTTGGTCTGCTGAAAGGGTGACGTGAACAGCGTACATCGCAGCAGGGAAGTTCTTAAAGCGATGACCGCTGGTCTCCAGGAGCTCCATGGTCCGAGCAGCAAAGAAAATTTTGGAATGGATGGTGTGGCCCAAAGTCAATGAGAAACTGATTAACCGCAAAGTGTACATTCGGTTTCATACTCATTGTTTGGATGACGTAGAAAAGTACTCAACAAAAATTCAGTCACTGGTTTCGTCGAGCGATCAGCAGGTGTGCCGTGTTGAACAGGCGTACGCAACACGTTTCGTAGTGACGCAAAAACCCGTCTGAGACGTTGAGCGCACGGCCCTCAAGCATCTTTGAAAAGTTGTCGAAAATGTCCTCGAGCTCGCCTTCGATTTCCTCGAGTGTTGGTTGCAGTTGCATCGCGCCTGATTTGCGCATGAGTTCGGGTGAACCGGGTGAGAACTCTATACAGCCGCTGAGATCGTCAACGGAAGAAACGGGGGAGTACACAGGGGAAGAACTGGAGTACATGGAGCTCAACTCAGTCACGACATCGTCATCGTACTCAAGGGTGGTCGTGTTGTCCATGGTTGCAGTGGCAAATTGAGAAGTGCTGTCGATTTCGGCTTCTGTGGTTGCATTTCAGCCCCGGGTTGCAGTGTATCCCACTTTGGGAATGATTATGGCATTACTCACGACCTCAACGTATCAATGACAAGGCAACAATACTTCACCTGACCCTCCACCAAGCCAAATCAAGAGCCTACAAGGATCAACCTCGCAAGGGTGGTCAGCCGTTTGCGTATGCTGCACAGCTTGACCAGGGTGGCTAGTGGTAAAACCATTGTCAAACCAACATTGTGGGCCAACATTTCAATGAGCCCATCATTCCCGAGCAGACCAACATTCCCTGGAGTCCCAGGGCACCCCGGGTTCCCTGGGTATCTTGGTTGCGTTTCAACAGTGGGATCGGATGTTGGAAGCGTTGCTGATTGCGTGTTAAGGGTGGGACTTGGTGCTGGAGATGTCATTGGTTGTTCCGAGATGCTGGTCATGGGTCTACGCTTTCAGCAACAATCATGCCCTGGGATCACTTCTTACAAATCAGGATTATGTTGCAATGTCCGCTGCATATGCGGGTTCATACGTTTGGGCACCACCGTAGTCAACACCACACCAAAAGTCTGAGCTGCTCAGTAGCCGCTGCAGATGCAAGGGATTTCGACCAATGGCGACCCGTGTTTTGGACCACAATCGACCACCATGCCTTGCCCTAGAGACGTGACGACAGCACTGGCAAGCCTCGACCAGATCGACGGGGGGAAGTTGGCTTTAGGATAGCTTTACATACTTTCACCTTACATAACATACATAATAACAGTTCACATTTTGCAGTGTATGGCTTAGACCCTGCGCAGTACAGTCCCTGTACGACCCACCCCAAGAAGTCTGCTGTTGAAATCCGTACACGCTTGTCGACCAAGTGTACGAAACCCGCATCGCCCTCCAAACCAGTACCAGCCAAGTCTTCGGTACAGATCTCGGGCCACAGATCCGTGCGAAGTTGCAACGCAGACGACCTCCGTTGCTGAACCTCGATCAAGTGTACCAAGTGTGCATCCCCTGTCTACGTGTGTGTGTGTGTGGTGGCTTGTTGCTGGATTTATCCACGGCGCGTCGATCCATACTCCTTGCATATCCTCGAAGTCACCCTCGACGAACTCGCCCCGACTTCCCCGCGACCCCCGGCTACCCCGGGTCCCCACGTCTCCCAGCCTACCCAGGTCACCCCGCATTCCCCGGGTTCCCTGAGTCGACTGCTCAACCCCCTGTGTTCCCGACCTTCCCAACTACCCCGGCTTTCCCCGGGTTTCCTGAGTTGCCTGTCCTCCCCGAACACCCCGAACATCCCCTTGTGTGCTCCGTCGGTGATCTTTGCCCTATTGACGTCAAGCCTCCGGAACAACCCTCGATATCTTATTAATGTGAGCCATAACATCATCACATAATTACTGTAATTCTGGAATGTAATCTACAATAGTCTAATTTGACTGATTAGTCTTGATAGTACGACTGTACTTTTCCTGAGGACAGACAGGTACAGTACATACATAGTAATGCGTACAGTACATTCTATGCCATACCTGGTATGTACAGTTAAACATACAGTACATAGTATACGTACAGTACATTACATTGTATACATCACTACGCACTACGATCACGCAGCTACACATCACTGTTGTAGCTATGACCTGCTCGTAAGTCTGCTTCCAACGGGATTGGATGAAGGGGTATTGGCAGATGTCATTACACCCTGACTCCCAGGAGTATTACTCCTTCATGACCCCGACCCGGGTCCTGATGGACCAGACCGATGCGGTGGTATATTTCCAAGGGGTGTTCGATGAGTTGTTCGGGATCTCCTGACGCACGTACGGTTGGATGATTTGTTGGGGTATGCCCAGACCATGGACGAGTTATCGCACCTGCTGCGTAAAGTACTTGAGATCTGCCAAGCGTACGGACTGAAGTTGCACCCCGGGAAGTGTGTTTTTTACACCACCCGGACTGTATGGTGTAGGAAAGAGATTTCGGCGGACGGCGTGGCACAAGCCCCGGAACGGATCCGGGCTTGTGTGATTTGGGGACGCCGCAGACGGCAGCGGATCTCCAGCAGTTCTTGCGTGCCACAAATTGGATATCACGCAGTACACGGAGCTGATAGCCCCATTGACGAAGCTGTTGGATATCGTGGCCAAGGCGGCCGACTCCCGGAAGAATACGTCTTGGCGCGTGATGCGCTGAGTTCCGTCGGGTGGTCCGGGGACCATCTGGAGTGTATCAACCGGTTCACGGAGGCATTGAAACGTATGTCCTATTGCCCCACCCTAACCCGGACAAGCTGGGATGTTTGTATACAGACGCGAGCGAGGGTTTCTGGTGAGCTGTTGCAACACAGGTTCCGGTTCAGGACCTGGCCATACTGGGGTTCGTGAGCGGATCGTTCCCGGGATGCTGTAGGGGTTCCGAATGTTTACGGACCACCGGAACCTGGTGTACATGTGTATGGGGAGGATAGTGACACCGCTGAAGGAAGGCGACATCGACAGATACCCCATTGAATGTCGTCTCGGTCTACAGACTATAAGCGATTGCATTACTTCGCTTAGTCAAGCCGCTGAGCTGTTGTTACCTTTGCCGTACAACTCGTTGAAACGACGAACAAAACTCGACAACATCTTCCGCTTCTACAACTTTAGAGTACGTCGTACAGGCATACTATAAGCCAAATCAAAAATGGTTTTGGCGTTTGAAATATATATTCAAATTAGTCCTTCCAAAAAGTCCTAAATCGTCCTGATTTCACCGTGTAGTGACATAAGGCCAGCGAAATTTTCCATCATATTTGATACAAATTCGAGTTATTTCAAGTAGCTGGCAAATATTGAGGTTTAAATTCCATTATTATATTTTTGCCCTAATTATAAAATATACCGTCCTTGAAATACCGAACTAGCAGTACTACATTGGTACTGTAAGTACCAATCTAGGACTATTTTACCCATATCAGTCCTTGTTAACAGCGGCGTCGTCGACGCCGTCCAAACACTGTAGGTACGCTGACAGGTCCACAACCTTACGCGTCGTATGACAAATGCAATCGTAGATCACACTGCTTGGAAGGCGATCGAATTCACGATCCAGCCTCTCGCGGACGTCGGGGAACTTGGTGGAGGTATTGTATTGACGACCAACACCACCTTTGACATACGACCAAACCATTTCAATAGGTTGCAAGTCGGAGTGATACGGCGGCGTGAAGACGACGTCATGGCCGCGGTCCGTCGCCATCTTCACGATGACAGGTACGACGTTGTCTGCGACGTGTTTCTTGAGTTTGGTCCATAGCGTTGAACGATATTCCCTGGGCTCAGTTGGAATTCCAAGCGACACACAAGCTTCCATCATCTTCGCCTTCGTCCACGATCCCTTAGGCGTGTCGTCAGGTAGGCCTTTATGATATTTCGCATTGTCTAAAACGATGATCGCGTTTGACTTTCCCAGAGCTTCAACGTCATCGAGGAGGCGCCGGAACCAAACCACAAAATAGGTATGGTTGAACATGGCGTGGTAGTCCTTGGGCTGCTTACGTCCACCTTCAAACGCTTCGTAGGTCAAGAGTTTCGAGTTGTCACGGCCATCTGCCATGATGGCAGCAATGAAGCACAGTCTCCGTCCCTTGTGTCTTGGCTTGGAGTCGCAGGCGTCATCAGGGTGGTAAATGCTGTCGTTATGGCGCGCGTAATGGTGATGGATGTAGGATTCATCCAAATATACGACCGGTCGAGGCTGTGAGGACTCAAACGCGGCAGACATGTATTGAATGTATTTATCCCTAGCACTAGCAACATCGTTAGATAGCTTTACCGAATGCATTCCTTTTCTTTCGCCGCGTCGAAATCCCTTTTTTACCAAAAATTGCTGTACTAACCGCAAACACGCATTTCCTTCTTTCTTGTTTGTTGGGTCGAAGGTCACAATGTTGTGCTAAAGGAGCAAACTCATCACATCTTTTGCAACCACTCGTGTACGTGTTAATCGACGCTCTCGAACGAATGATTGAATGATAGACAAGACTTGTTTTGTGTCTGGAATGCGTGTTTTGCGGCTAGATCTATTCGCAGCAACTTTGGCAGCAGTGACTGTCTTAGTACGTTGGTATTCAGACCAGATTTCCTTTACTGAGTGAAGGCTTCTACCGACAAGCTTCGCGATTTGCTCTGCAACACCTACAGTATTGGTATATCGTAGTTGAGCATGCATGCGTAGTATCATTAGACGTTCGTCCTTTGACAAGCTCCGGGACCGTTCACTGTCGACGAAACTGGTGATCTCGTCGTAGAGCTCAGGATTGACTTCAGGCATTTGCAGGTG